GCCATGAATGTTCTGTATAACATTGTAATGGTGGTGATACTGCACGAAATCAACATTGACTAATTAGTGTGCTTTCCACATATAGTATATTTCACCAAGAAAACTTAAAAGAACTGGGGATATTTAGCCTGGATAAGGGAATGCATAAGAGGGAACACAAAAATGGCTATTTTCAAATATTTAAATAGCTATAAGGTAAAAGAAAGAACCAAGTTATTCTGAGTATTTTCATAGTACAAAATGAGGAGTAGTGGGTAAAGTTATAGAAAAGCAGATTATATTTATATAAAGTAGCTGGTTTTTTTTAGTATGTGAAATTTGATACACAAAGGACTATGTGCAAATGAGGAATCACAATGATGAAATGACTGTGAACACTTTATAATTTTTTATTGAGATATAATTTACATGTCATAACATTCACCCTTTAAAGTATATAATACTGTTTAGTATATTCAAGAAAGTTGTACAACTATTAGCACTATCTCACTCCAGAGTATTTTCTCATTACCCCCCCCCAAAAAAAAAAATCCTTGATGGTTCCTATTAGCAATCACTCTTCATTTCTCTGTCTCCCAGGCCCTGGCAACTACTAATCTACTTTCTGTCTGGCTGTGCCTCTTCTGGAAATTTCATATTACAATATTGTGACCTTTTGTGACTAGCTTCTTTCACTTAGCATGTTTTCAAAGTTCATCCATGTTATTTTTCTTAAAGATTTTATTTATTTATTTATTTGAGAGAGAGAATGAGAAAGAGAGAGCATGAGAGGGGGGAGAGTCAGAGAGAAAAGCAGACTCCCTGCTGAGCAGGGAGCCTGATGTGGGACTCGATCCCGGGACTTCAGGATCATGACCTGAGCCAAAGGCAGTCGCTTAACCAACTGAGCCACCCAGGCACCCCAAAGTTCATCCATGTTATATCATGTATTAGTACTTCATTCCTTTTTATGACTGAAAGATATGCATTTGTCAAAACCCATAGAACAATACAACACAAAAAATAAACCATAATGTAACCTATGGACTTCAGTATATCAATATTGTTTCGTTAATTATAACAATTATACCACATTAATATCAGATGTTAATAATGAAAGAAACTATATACGGAGAAGGGGGGATAAATGGAAACTCTCTATTATCTGTTCAATTCTGTAAATTTAAAACTATTCTTAAAAAGAACCTTTTATCTTTTAAAAGAAAGTCAGGGGCGTCTGGGTGGCTCGGTCAGTTGAGCTCTGACTCTTGATTTCAGTTCAGGTCATGATCTCAGGGCCCTGGGATCAAGCCCTGAGTCCAGCTCCCTGCTCAAGGGGAAGTCAGCTTGTACTTCTCCCTCTGCCCCTCCCCCCACTCACATATGTTCTCTCTCTCTCTAAAATAAACAAATAAATCTTTAAAAATAAATAAAAGAAAGTCAAATGAGCACATTTTTAAAAAAGTGAATAGGTAAAAAACTAGGAGCAAACTAGTGTACTATATACTGTATTCTTACAAAATGGTAAGCTAGAGAAAAGATATTATTAAGAAAATCAAAAGGAAGAGAAAATACTTACAGTACTGAACTATAAAGAATCTGCTATAAGTGAACCTGTGCAGTTCAAACCCATGTTGTTCAAGGGTCTACTGATATATGCTACATGATCCCATTTATATGAAATTCCTAAATAGGTGAAACTAATCTAAGAGGGAAAGAAGTCAAAACTCCTGGAGAAGTGGGGATGGGCATTTACTGGGAAAGAGCATTAGGGAACTTTGTGGGATGATGGTAATCCTCCATATCTTGTTAAGAGTTCGTATTTGTCAAAAGTCAATAAAGGCAAACAAGATTTGTGTTTCTCGATACATGTAAATTTTACTCAAAATGGAAAAAAAGGCAAATAAATAATGAACTCTGTCTAGTTAATGAAAAACATGACAAAGTATTTAGGGGGAAATGCACTGAGGTCAGCAATTTACTTTGAAGTATATGAAATTGCTGGATAGATAGAGGGATGGCTAGATGGAGAGACAAGTGATAAAGCAAATAAAGTAAAATGTTAATGGCAGAATCTAGATAGTAGGTATGTGTGCATTCACATTAAAATTATTTCCATTTTGGGGCATCCGGGTGGCTCAGTCAATTAAGTGACCAACTCTTGATTTCAGCTCGGATGAGCCCGTGTTGGGATCCGTGCTCAACACAAAATCTGCTTGAGGATTCTCTCCCTCTCCCTCTGCCCCTCCCCCTGCTCATGCTCTCTCTCTGTCAATAAAAATAAATAAATAAATCAGGGCGCCTGGGTGGCTCAGTCATTAAGCGTCTGCCTTCGGCTCAGGTCATGATCCCAGGGTCCTGGGACCGAGCCCCACATTGGGCTCCCTGCTCCGCGGGAAGCCTGCTTCTCCCTCTCCCATGCCCCCTGCTTGTGTTCCCCCTCTGCTGTGTCTCTCTCTGTCAAATAAATAAATAAATAATAAATTAAAAAATCTTAAATAATTTTTTAAAATAATAAAATAATTTCCATTTTTACAGATATTTGGAAATTCCCATAGTAAAATATTGTAAAAAATAAAAATAACAACCACTGAAAAAATGTCAGGTGCCTGCTGCATCCAAAGATATTTATAGTGTCAACCAAAAAGATTACAACAGCATCCCTATTTCTTTGTAATTTGAGAATCTTGTTCAGCTCATATCCACTCTGGCAGTTATTCCTCCTCCTATAAAAAAGTGTTATTATGAAACCCTGTTGCATATGAAACTTCCTTCTGGGGTGCCTGGGTGGCTCAGTCGATTAAGTGTCTGCCTTCGGCTCAGGTCTGATTCCAGGGTCCTGGGATCGAGCCCCACATTGGGCTCCCTGCTTAGCAGGGAGCCTGCTTCTCCCTCTGCCTCCTGCTCCCCCTGCTTGTGCTAGTTCTTTCTCTCTCTCTGGCAAATAAATAAATAAAATCTTAAAACAAAAAAATACACAATAGAAAACTTCCTTCTGCTGCAACAGACCTCAGGGGCAGTAGCGTGAAAAGCAGGGACACACACAAGCAGATCAGGAAGCACTCAATGAGACCAGAAGCAGAAAGCTACAGTAACATGTAAACAGAGAGAAGAAGTCACAGGCTGATCTCAAGTATTTCCAAGGCATGCATGGCGTTACCATTTCCTGGGGACCTCTATTGGATCTTCACAACAATCTTGTGAAGCAGGGAAAACTCTTTAAGATACCAAACTCAGGACAACCTTCCGCATCGAAGGTAGGCCCTAGACCTTCAAAAGATCTCCTACCGCAACAAAATGCTGACCACTAGATTATTCTGAACCTAGTGAATGTTTCACCATTCCATAGACACATCATGAATGTTTGCAGCAATCAGTCTAAAAGCTCATTGCTTATTCTCACCTACTTTGTATTCTTTTTTTTTAAAGAATATTCCACACTCATGTATACTTTCTATTTACGTATGTATGTATATATTTACTTAAAGTAAGCTCCATGCCCAAAGTGGGACTTGAACTCACTACCCCAAGATCAAGAATCACATGTTCTACTGACTGAGCCAGCCAGGCACTCCATCAGCTACTTTACATTTTTAATTCCCAACTTTACCCTATTCTAAGTCCTTGGCTTTGATGCCCTACTGAGATCCTGTCTCTGGTACCTTGGAGTTAGTATTTTTGTGACCATGGTGACTCAACTTTTCTTAAAGGATTTCGGCTTTGACTTGCCTGCCTGTCTCTTTCTGTCTAGACTTTTGGGATTGGACCCCACCCTATTTTGGCCCCTAGAAGCTAACTCCTGAAATCAGCTGGAAGAGTCCCACTCACCTCTACTCCTCATAAGTGGGAAAGTCTGGATCCACCATTAGTCATCTAGCTCTTTTGCTATGCTTTCTCATCTGTCCCTCCCAGTTCTGTTCTTAGATTGACAACTCAGACTTCAGTTGTCCCTATCCTCCTTCTAATTTGCATTCTCCAACTCCTGAGGTGTTCCAAGAACTGACTCCTTAGTATCTAATCTTGACAAGTATCTTATTAACGGCTTTGCTCCTCATTTCTCAGCACCATCAGATAGGAAGACTCAGCTTCTAAGTCAGACAGTGGGCAAATAAGGCAAATTTATATTATTTATTCTCATTCAGGAGAAACACATTCAGAAAGATCTAATAATTTTCCTGTGGTTCCATGGCAAGTAATCTGCAGATATGTAATTTGAACCCAATATTCTAATTCCACTATTCCTTCCAGGTTTTGTAAAGTACCACAGTCATTCAGAAACATTATAGTTATAATAGTATTTATCATGATCATCTATAATAATTATATGTATTGACCATCTACCTCTGTGCTCTCATTTAACCTCACCACAATCCTGTGAAGCCTCTTAATGCTTGACACAGAATAGACACTCAATAGACATCACTGACTGATGAATGAACAAATGGACAAATAAAATTTTTCACAGTAGTTATTATCTGCATCTACAGATGAGAAAACTAAGGCTCACACTTTTGCCAAGATCATACATCTAGATGTTGATTTGAAACCAGATCAGTCTGTCTCCAGAATCTATACATTTTCTAGTAATTCACATAGCACTTCACTCCCAATCATAAAAGAATATGGTGCCGGGGCCCTTGGGTGGCACAGCTGGTTAAGCATCAGACTCTTGATTTCAGCTCAGGTCACTATCTCAGGTTTGTGGGATCGAGACCCACATCAACCTCTGCACTTAGCACACAGTCTGCTTGAGATTCTCTCTCTCCCTCTCCCGCTGCCCCTCCCCCCCAAAATAAATAAATCTCAAAAAAAAAAAAAAAAGAATGTGTCAAACATCTCAACAGAAATCATCTTAAGGAAGTTCTCAACTATTATATTTTTACTATAGAAAATAGAAATGCAATACAGTTCCTTATTATCAATAGAATAGAGAAGGGAACTTTTGTGATCTTCTCAAAAGCAGATATAAACATAATTGTACTCTAAAACTCAAACCGGGATATTCCGGTAACAGCTCTAACCTGATTTTGGACAGTAGTTCTCCTCTATCTGCACAATCCACACTGACTTGTCGAATAAGTTCATGAAATACTGTATTGTAAATGGTCTGTTCCTTCCTCAATATATGCAGTAGTTTGTGCATCTGGCAGAAGATAAGGAATATCATCAGTATTTATTACTGTCTTATCAGTAAAAAACCATTTTAGGAAGTAAATACTCCAAATGTGAATGTTTTAGAAATGCCTTGATAATTTATTTCACTTATATTTTTCTTTATAAATATATATACAAAAATGATATATTATTTTTAAAATATAAAAATATATTTTTAAAAGTTTGTTTAATCATGTACCTCTTTACATGATGCACTGAGAAGGTCACAGTATCACTTCTATATCATCCCCGCCAAAAATACATAACCTGAATCTAATCATGAGTACACATCAGACAAACCAAAATTGAGGAACATTCTACAGAATAACTGGCATATGCTCTTCCAAATATCAATGTCAAGAAAAACAAGGAACTGTTTCAGAATATAGTTGTCTAAAGGAACATGACACACAAAAGCACTGTGATCCTGGGATCCTGAAACAGTGGGGACAAGAGCTATAAAAACCATTACAGGTACAACTGATAAAATTTGAAATTTGAATATGGACAGGTAATACCAACACATCAATGTTAAATTTCCTGATTTTGATAACTGTATTATGGATATATAAGAGAATATCCTTATCCATAGGAAACATGCCCTGTAATGTTTGGTGATAAAGAGGCATGATGTCACCAGCTTACTGTAAAATGGTTAGGAAAAACTATACATATAGAGATATGTATGTAAAGAGGAAGAGAGAATGATAAAGCAAGTAGGGCACAATGTAAACTATTAGTGAATCTGGGTAAAGCTTACATAGGAATGCCTTATACCGAACTTGTCTTTAAGTTTCAAATTCTGTAAAAATAAAAATTTACAAAACAAAAGAGGAAAAGCCCTCATAAAGAAAAATACCTGTATCTCTGTAAGGTTGAAAGAGCTTTTTCATTAATAAAATAAAAATTTTAAGAGGTAAGAAAGCATGGTTTAATTGGCAGTGTTTTTTAGTGGTACATAAAATAATAAAGGTCTTATAATCAATGGTACCTTATAGTCAATGAAATACGGTGATAATAATACCAACAATTATACAGTGTTTGCTACATACCCAGCACTATTCTAAGCCCTTTATATTCATATGTCATTTAATCTCCACAACAACCCTATGAGGTAGGTATGATTATTACCTCTAACTTAAAGATGAGTAAATTGAGGCACAAATACATTAACTGAGTTGCCCAATGTCACTAGCTAATAAATGGCAGGGCCAGGATTCCAATCCAGACATTCTGGCTCCAGAATGCATGCTCTCAACCACTAGGTTACATTGATCTTTGCAATTACCTTGGTTGGCCCTGTATATTCCTGATTTTCCACACCAGCCCTCTCTAGCATAGCATCCATCACATCATTAAGCTGGACCACTTCTACTCTTTTATTAGGTTTCCTAAAAGATTAAGGTGACAGACTTATGTAATTAAATGTTTTAACAGGTTATCCTCAAATGACAAAAATAATACATACAAAATGTATATACTATGGAATATTAATGGTATTTTTTTTATTATTTTAGAGAGAACGAGCTGGAGGAGGAAGGGCAGAGGGAGAGGGAGAGAAGCCCCAGCAGACTCCCCACTGAGTATGGAGCCCAACCTAGGGCTCAATCCCAGGACCCGAAGATCATGACCTGAATGAAACCAAGAGGTTGCCCAATGGACAGAGCCACCCAGGTGCCCATGGAATATTAATGGTATTTTAAAGCATTAGCCCTGTATGTACTGATCCAGTGGATTATAGCAGTAATAAAATTTTTAAAAAAAGAAAAAGGAAAATGTAAATAGTATGATCCTCTTTGTAAATAAAATAATGCTTCCTTCCTAAAATTCTATACACCTAGTGTGCAGGATTGTAAGAACATAGAAGAAATATGGAGAGATAAATACCAAGCTGTTAATATTGGTTACTTCACAATGTAAGTGAAGAAAAGGGACAATGGAGAGATAAGAAGAAAAAAAAAAAGACTGTAGCAAAACAATCTGCTGTACAACCTTGTGCCTAGACTGAATGATACTGTATTGAAAACTTAAAAATTTGTTAAGAAGACAGATTTCATGTTAAGTGTTCCTACCACAACAAAATAAAATTTTAGAAAAAAAACTGTAAAAAAAATATTTTATAGTACTTTAATATTATTATAAATGTGTAAAAATTGAAAACACTGATCAGATGATGGAATTGTGGACACTTATTGTCTTGGGTTTCTGCTATAATTTTAATATTTTCTGTGCAATAAAGTACTAAGAAAAATACATATATATATTAAAATACATATTCATATGTATATGTTCCTTCTGAGAAATACTTTCAAAAATAAACTGTACTTACATGGATGGGAAGAGCAATAGCCTGTTTTCACTATCTGTGAGGAGAGTAGTATATTTGCTGCAATAAATAAGACAGATAAATATTATTGTAAGAAAATTAACCGGCCTGTTTTTCACATATCACAACATGATAAACCTAAGACCTCAAAAATTGGGAAGCTTGGAGGCAATTGAAAAGGTCCATCATTTTACCCACAAGATCATCCCAAGGCATCGACAGACACAAATGTAATGACATTTATCATATTTGTAATATTTTTAGTAAAGGAGTTTTAATAACATTCCTCATATGTGACAATATGAACATTTCCTTGGTTCATTTTTTTAAATGCCTTTTCAAAGGTGGAAGGATGTTCTAAGAACTCTGAAGTCAACAAAGTTAAGTGAATAAACAGGTTATAAAATTAATAAGCAGAGATGAAGCTAGAACCCAGTTTTCCTAACTCCCAGCCAAATCTGTCCTCTGAGAGTGCTCATTTCCACCTAAATGAGTGTCACAGTGAGAACCACATGGTAATCCTAACTCATTATTATTTATGTAACATTTTTCTTCCCCTTGTTAATAAGTACTTCCTTTCGTTCTGCCCCCTGCTGGAACTCAGTTGGTTAATAAGGTCCATTTTCAGAATTTAGATCAGTGAAAAATCTCCAGGGACTATAAAGACTCAAAATAAAGTTTCAAAAATGAATGAGAGGAACCAGAAACAATGATAGCCCAGGCACAATGAGCACGCCTACCACCCAGATCTTGACTTCTAAGTACCATTCTCCACTCAAAGGAATCAGTACTCCCTGGAGAAGTGACATAGCTCATTCCACAGCTGGAGTTGGGAAATATAAGATGAACCTGGAAATCTTATTGAGTCAGAAAATAAGGAAACACTCAAAGAATCATGGGGACATGTCCAAAGAACATAAGAGCCAGCTCAGAGGAGCTAACATTGGCCAAATCTAAAAATTTTTGAACATAAAAATAATCATAGTAAGGATGCCTGGGTGTCTCAGTCGGTTAAGCTGAGTCTGCCTTCAGCTCAGGTCATGATCCCCGGGTCCTAGATCGAGTCCTGCACAGGGTTCCTTGCTCAGCTGGTAGCCTGCTTCTCCCTCTGCCTGCTTCTCCCTCTGCTTGTGCTCTCTCTCTCTCTCTCTGACAAATAAAATCTTTAAAAAAAAAAAATCATAGTAAAGAACTATAACCCACAGAAAAAAAAAACAGAAATCCATGAATTCGTATGGTAAAATGCTAACTAATAAACAGAGAAGAAATGATGAAGCTAAAAAAGTCATCAAAAAGATCTATAACTAGTAGGTTGCTAGGAAATATACACTGAAGCATTTGGTGGTAAAGGGTCATATCTCCAACTTACTCTTGAATAGTTTTAATGTGTGTGTGTATATCAAAGTAAATAAGGCAAAATGTAAATACTCAGTGAGTTAAAACAGAGAGTACATGAGAGTTGTCATATTTTTGTAACATTTTTATAATTTTGAAATTACATAAAAATTAAAAGTTCCCCCAAAATGAATTCCATTTAGTTCTTTTTGACAAAATATTGTTCTGAAACCCACTATCATAAGGAAATGCCATGTGTATTGAAAAAGTAAAAAGAGTAACAGCCTCTGGAGATTTTATTATAAAACCTTAGTCCATAATTCTAGTTTTTTACACTATGAAACATTCAAACATTGTTTCATAAAATACAAGGAAGATCCCATTTTCAATGCCATAAGCAGGAAACAAAGAAAACTGGAGATGACTAGTGTGAAGACTGGATCCAAGCCCTAGAGTGTGCCTTATGAGACATCAACTCAGAGGGCTACTTTCCTTTGTCTCTTTGGCCACTACCCAAAACCATTCCTAAGGAGGCCTAGGTGAGCATTCAGAACACAGATCCACTTCTTTAACTGAAAATTAAATAATAGGAAAAGACAGAGAACATTTTGATCACTAAAATCCCAAACTCTTTTCAATAAGACATTTTCATTCTTAAATTTAGGATGGAAGGCCAAATGTTTCCTTATTTCAATGTAGATATTACCTAGGAACTGATCTCAGGTTCCTCTATGTCTGAGAAGGAGGAAACAGTTCCACTTGTCAGATATTCAGGATATACTATGGTACTCACTCATCATAACACTCCAAACCTGAAACTCCTGTATTTGACACAATATGAAATTCTTCAGGAAGCAAAGTATCTGTTAGTTTCTTTGGCTTAAAAAGAAAGAAAGAAGGACAAGAATGAAAACATTAGTAAATGAAAAAAGTTGGATTGCATAAATCAACATTCCTATCCCAAAGGGATACTATTTATTAAGAGGTTTGATAATAGAAATAACAGTATTAGTAATATGGACCATAGGACATAATAAAAAACATTTAGCAGAGCACACATTTAAAAAATAACCATGAATTAAAGAACAACCTTGGTTTTAGTATTATTCACACATGTCCCACATATTCAGTAATCCATTGACTCTTTAAAATTCAATAGGAGGGGTGACTGGGTGGTTCAGTCAGTTAAGCATCTGCCTTCGGCTCAGGTCATGATCTCAGGGTTCTGGGATCGAGCCCCGCATCAGGCTCCCTGCTCAGTGCGGAGCCTGCTTCTCCCTCTCCCTCTGCCCCTCCCCCTGCTTGTGCTCTGTCTCTGTCTCTCTCAAATAAATATTAAAAAAATAAAAATAAAAAATAAATAAAATTCAATAGCAATTTAAAATTTACCTTAACAACATGCCAAAAATAAGAATTCTACAACTTTGAACTGTAAATTAAAAAAAAAATCTAGTCTTCTATACTGTATTTTCTAGATTAAAGTGGGTAACTGTAGTTTGAAAAATGGCTTAAAATAAGGTATCATAGAAACTTTCCCACTAAATACTTTTTCCTAGAAATAATTAGAAAGTGCTACAGTACAACATTGCTTTATATTTTTAAGGAAATGATTTTTAAAAATTAGAGGGCGAGGAAATTATTTGTCAAATACTTTATTTACCTTATGAGACACAATGACACCATCATGTGACTGTAATGAACGTTCCAAACGTGGGGGACAAAGCGAACTCTCCCTGGCCTCTCCTTTAACATATTTAACATCGTACAGAAAAGAAATATCCCTAAAAAATAAGAAAAATATATTTACAAAATAAACTTTGTCTGGCTACCGGATAAGAGTGGGTAAGATTCACATACATCCTTCTAGTGGGTGAAAAGGGGCACAAAACCAGGCTCCTTACTTCATACTTCACTAAGACAGCAGAGGCATTAGACAAGAACCACCCCCACCCCATTATTCCTCTTTTCCACCTCACATTTCTCCTTCACATCACAAATCCTTTCCCTTCCTTCAACCTCGGTTGAAGATGTATTCTCTTCCCCAGAGTTATTTCCTCCACTGATGTCCTTGATTTCATCTTTACCCACATCCTTTGGGATCTCATTCTACCAATCTACTTTCTGTATGTTTCCCCCTCCCTTGGAATATTCCCTTTGATCTATAACTCAAGTCTTTTCCCCTTCTAAAAGTCCTTCCTTGACCATGTTATCAGGATTTATCTATCAACTGATCTCTCACATTCTGTTAATCAGATTTCTTCAAATTTCCTTGCAATCTAATTTCAATACCTATCTCTCTTCTGAAACCGCTCTAGAAAGCTGATGACTTTCTACTGCCAGGTCATCAGCTCTTCTCTTCCACTATTTCCCTGTAATATTTCCCAGGGTTGATCATCTCTTTTTTAAAAACATTATCCTCTCCTCTATCCTCTGTTACTGGAGTCTTGGTTCTTTTGCTTAACCTCTCCTTCTTGGATGCCTCTGTGACTTCCTGTCTACTAAATGGAAATGCCCTGCACCATTATGGCCTCATCTGTCTGTCTTCCTACCCTATACTTTTTCTCTTGCCAATGCCATGCAAATCTCACCTTACCACATTTGTTACCTCTACATACACTGAATAATCCTCCCTCCATTCTAACTCTCCACCCTCCTATCCTCACTAATTGTCAGGAAGTACTACCACTCTACCCATCAAAAGCTCAGCATACATAATTGATTCCTTCCCATTCATTGCCCTAAATTCCCATCCACTGCCCTAAATTCCCATCCACCACTAACACTTAATTTCATAGTCACCCTCATAGCATTCTAGCATTGACCCTGTTGTCTCTTGCCAATGCCAAATCACTAGTCCAAGCTATCCCTACTTTTTACATGGCTCTCAAGTCTCTCTAGTACATTCTACACACTTCTGCCAATTCACCTTCGTATAGCAGTTATAATCACGCCACTTACTGCACATGATTTTCACATGTCTCTGCCCCTCCCCCAATTGTAATTGGTATAGCCATTATGATAAATAGTATGTAGCTTCCTCAAAAAAATAAAAAATAGAACTACCATATGACCCAGCAATCCCACTTCTGGGTTTATATCCAAAGGAAATGAATCTGGATCTTGACAAAATATCTATACTCCCATGTTCATTGACGCATTATTCACAATAGCCCAGACATGGAAACAACCTAAATGTCCACTGATGAATGAATGAATAAAGAAAATGTGTGTATATAGACAATGGAATGTTATTCAGCCTTTAAAAAGGAAATCCTGCCATTTGTGACAGCATGGATGAAGCTGGAGAACATTGTGCCAAGTGAAATAAGCCAAAGACAAATACTGTATGATTTCATTTATATGTCAGATGAGCACATGGGGAAAGGGGAAAATGAGGAGATGTTAGTCCAAAAGTACAAAGTTTCAGTTATGCAAGATGAATGAGTTCTGGAGATCTAATGTATAGCACGGTGATGATAGTTAGCAATACTGTGTTATATATTTGAAATCTGCTAAGAGAACAGATCTGAAATGTAATCTTCTTACCACACACATATAAACTCACGGATACACACAAATGGTAATTATACAGTTATTTAGCTTGACTGTGATCATTTTACAATGTATACATTTATAAAAACATCAAGTTGTATGCCTTAAATATACACAATTTTTGTGTCAAAGATATCTCAATGAAGTTTTTTTTAATAAAGTTTTTTTTTACAAAGTTGCTCTCAGGATGATGGGATATTAGTCACTATCACACCAATAATTGCTAGAGATTGGCCAATATAACTTTGTTAGCTAAAAACAATGAATGAGGGGCACCTGGGTGGCTCAGCCATTAAGTGTCTGCCTTCAGCTCAGGTCATAATCCCAGGGTCCTGGGATCGAGCCCTGCATCAGGCTCCCTGCTCCGCGGGAAGCCTGCTTCTCCCTCTCCCACTCCCTTTGCTTGTGTTCCCTCTCTCACTCTGTCTCTCTGTCAAATAAATAAATAAAATCTTTTAAAAAATAAAATAAAAATAAAAAATAATCTGTTTGGGGGCACCTGGGTGGCTCAGCTGGTTGAGTGTCTGCCTTCAGCTCGGGTCATGATCCCAGCGTCCTGGGATCAAGTTCCGCATCAGGCCCCCTGCTCAGCGCGGAGCCTGCTTCTCCTTCTGCCTCTGCCCCTCCCCCTGCTTGTGCACTCTTTTTCTCTCTGACAAATAAATAAATAAAATCTTTAAAAAAATAAAATAAAATAATCTGTTTTATTTCTTATAAAATTCTTGTGGTAAATCACCTGCTTCTACTCCTCTGGAAAATCTATTTTTATTTACAAAAACAAAAAAAAAAACTTTGATTCCTAGCCATTACACAAAAACTGGATCCCCCAGATTATCAAACTGAGTTCATACTTCAAATTTTTCTTCAGATCATCACTGGCTATGTTCATAAACAAGCATGTCTTTTATCTGAAGTTGTCAAGGAATGAGGTATTTCAGAGAGATCGATTTTCCAAATAACTGAGGTATGCTTTAAAAAACATTAAGTCTTTCTAAAATGTATTTAAAACATGGCAGCTTTCTTAAACAGAGTGTACATAATACAAAATAATCTTTTCTTGACAATTCAGGTAATGACTTATGAAGTTAGAAGTGTCCTGAGGACAGTGTGGTTATGTTTTTGAAACCTAAGTCAGTACTGGAATATGGCAGGCCCTGGTGGGTGTTGGGTCCTTCTTTGGGTTGGAAGGGTTGGAAAGCACTTTCCCAGACACCCTTGCAGCTAGGGTTCTGGGTGAGAACTAAGTTCCGCAAGTAGATGCACATTTGCAAGATTTCAGAGGTAGAAGTAAAACAGAAGTCACTTTCCTGTCATGTCTTTAGCTGATTCTACCAGCAACATCATGGAAAAGTGGTTTTCCTGAAACATTCCAGAATCCACTCTCCAGCTACCCCGTCCAGAGGGGCAGTGCAGTAACCTCAGTGACAGCTTCTTGATTTCAGCTTCCAGATCCTTGGATAACAGTTAAGGGGACTTTTTTTTTTAATTGCAGTATCATTCACGGACTACAAAATTCACCTTTTTAAAGAGTACAAGTTTTTAGTATATTCACAAGTTTTTAGTATATTCACAATTTACAAGTTTTAATATATTCACAAAGTTGTATGACCATCACCAAAAAACCCTTACCCATTAACAGTAATTCTCCACTTTTCTCCCCAGCCCCAGCCCCACCCCCAGCAACCAATAATCTACTTTTTGTCTCTGAATTTCCCTATCCTGGACAGTTCATATAAATAGAAACACACATGTGCCCTTTTATGACTGGCTTCCTTAGCATGTTTTCAAGGTTCATCAATGTTGTAGCAGGTATCAATACTTCAGTCCTTTTTATGGCTGAATAATATTCCATTGTATACGCCATTTTGTTTATTTTTTCAACTACTAATGGACAGTCGGTTTGTTTCCACTTTTTTGGGTGCATGAATAAAGGTGCCATGAATATTCATTGTAAGTTTTTGTGCAGACATATACTGTCTATTCTCTTGGGTATATACCTAGGAGTAGAATTGCTGGGTCATCTGGCAAGCCTATGTTTAAATTTTTGAGGAACTGCCAAACTATTTTCCAAAGAGGCTGCTCCATTTTACATTCCCACCAGCAAGGTATGACACTGCCGATGTCTCTACATCCTCACAAATGCTTGTTATTGTCTGCTTTTCAACTATCATCCTAGTAGGTGTGAAATAGTATCTCTTCATGGTTTGATTTGCATTTCCTTATGGCTAATGATGTTGAGCAGCTTTTCATGTGCATATTGGCCATTTTTACCTTCTTTGGACTCTTGAACTCTTGTGGCAGCCTTGGAGGTAGTAGCCTGCATGGTAGGTTAATTCCATCCTGTTCTGAGAGTTATTCCCAAAAGTATTGCTTCATATTTTCTCCTTTAGCCCCCCTGACAATTTTGTAAATACTCGATTTACTGTTTAAAATAGGTTTTATTGGGGCACCTGGGTGGCTCAGTCGTTAAGAGTCTGCCTTCAGCTCAGGTCATGATGCCAGGGTCCTGGGATGGAGGCCCGCGTCGGGCTCCCTGCTCGTCAGGAAGCCTGCCTCTCCCTCTCCCACTCCCCCTGCTTGTGTTCCCTCTCTCACTGTGTCTCTGTCAAATAAATAACTAAAATCTTTAGAAAAAATACAAAATAAAATAAAATAGGTTTTATTTTCTGAACTCTGACTGATAAAGCTGTTGAAAAATATTCAGAGGCTATTTGCTGGGTTGTTCTATATTTTACTGCTGTGCTCTAAATATTTAAGGTTGCTAGACATAATAGTATTTATTATACTCTTAACCTATACTCTTAACCTAACTCTATAACCTCTTGTTATAAATACTATTAGTTATACATATATTAATTTTCTACTGGTGCCATAAAAATTACCACAAATTTAGCTGCTTAAGCAACACAAATTTATTATGTTACAGTTCTATAGGTCAGAAGTCCAACACAGGTCTCACAGACTAAAATCAAGGTGTCGACAAGGCTGTATTCCTTTCTGGATGCTCTAAGGGAAGATCCATTTCCGTGCCCATTGGAGCTGTTAACAGAACTCAATTCCTTGCAGTTCTAGGACTGAGATCCCTGTTTCCTTTCCTTTCCTGCCAGCTGAGGGCCATACCCAGCTTCTAGAGGCCAACAGTAGTTCTTAGCTTGTTCTTAGCTCCTCCCTTCCTCCATCTTCAGAGCCGGCAAGTGTAGGCTGAATTCCTTCTCTCTCATACTTCCACTGTGTCCTCCTTCGTCTCTGACCTGTTCAACTTCCTTCTTTTTCCACTTCAAAGACTCAGGCAATTAGGTTGGGCCCATCCCGAGAATCCAAGTTAATCTCACCATCTCATGGTCCTTAACCTTAATCACATCTGCAAAGTCTCTTTGGTTATGTAAGGTATGTATTCAAGTTCTGAGGTACACCGAAAACATTTTGCGGGGAGGCAATTATCCTGCTTACCACAATACAGATCTTCACAGTTTAAAAATTCCAAGTGAGAAGTCATTTGACATTAAAACTTTAATATTGGGTTATTCCTGCATTCAGATATAGCTTATTATTTTTTTTCAAAGTACTTCAAACATTTCATAACTACTAATTATAACTAGTGATAATTATAACCATGATCTGAAGGTATAAAATAAAATACGATACTTTGACACCAAAGCCCCAGGACACAAAAGGTAATAGCCCAAGTTCCCGCCACCTTTTCTAGCACTGAGACATACCTGAGTAATAACAACTTATATTTAAATAGCACTGTACAGGGGCATCTAGCTGGTCAGTCAGTGGAGCACGTGCCTCTTGATCTCAGGGTCATGAGTTCGAGCCCCATGATGGGTGTAGAGCTTATATACATACACACACAAATACATACATACAAAGCACTGCCCATTATTTCCTTTAAAATATGTGCTTTACAATATCTCTGGGAGGTCCACAAAATGGAGCAAGTCTATTATTCCCTTTTACAAATGAGAAAATGGAACTCAGAAAGACTAAATAACCTACACATGTATTAATATGCTTATTACATATTAACGTGTCATAATATTACATATTGTTTCTTTCAGATGAAGTGATATCTCATGAGGGGCATGCAACTGATAAATGGACTACACACAGAAAAATGAGGTGGTCACAGTCTTCACAGGGAAACTCAGGACATTCATAATATTTTTAGGAATGACATAAAAACAACAAAGAGTATTTGCTGATTTGATCTAAAGGTGAAGGATTCACTTTGAGAAAAACCAAGGAGTAAGCACTTGCTTTTCAAGGTTTTCATGAAGCTATATTACCTCACTCTTCTTAAATGTACAGATGAAAGAGTCACTATAAGACACTCTGCCTCTGGGGTCTTGTCCCTTTTACTAGGGTACAACAAGGGACAGAAGAGTAAGCAGACAAGGACACAAAGGCATGCAGAAAGCAAATCTTAACAAAGCAAAAGCCGGTAGAGGTAATAATCCTACACACAGAAGGGTGGTCTGTGTCTTCTTCAGATTGTTTTCTGATTCAAAGATACTGTAAGCTTCAAATTTAAAATCTTTGATTCTATGATTTTTCCACCTGTGCCCCTCCCAAAGAAATGAGACAACAACTCTATTCATCGGCATCTACCCTACCATCTGCCTTCTTTACCTTCCAGCACCAGTTAAGGAAACAGGATGGTCAATCAGGTATCTGAACTTATTTCTTCTAATAGGGTGATACCAGACTTGGTTAGCCGGACGCGGAAGTGTACCCTAAGAAAAAAGCAAATAACATAAATAGACAGCAGAGGGAGCTCTAGTCAAATGAAATCTGTTAATCCTTTGGAATGTTTACATTAAAGACATTTGGATGGTCTATGGAAAAAAGAGAGCAGAATGCTTAATCAATACTATGGAGAAAAACTGAAACTGGGACAATTCAAAAGTGAAAGAAACATATCAAGACTGAGAGTAGTAATAATGATCACTTAGGTAAATCACATTTTAAAAAGCATTTCCTTGGAAACACTGGAGCAAATGATTTTAGTTTCAAGGAAATTAATTTTGAAGTATTTTAAAAGACGGTAAAGAACGTATGACACTGGGACACCTGGGTGGCTCAGTCATTAAGCGTCTGCGTTCAGCTCAGGTCATGATCCCAGGGTCCTGGGATCGAGTCCCGCATTAGGCTTCTTGCTGGGCAGGGAAACTGCTTCTCTCTCTGTCTGCCACTCCCCCTGCTTGTGCTTGTTCTCTCTCTCTGACCAATAAATAAAATCTTAAAAAAAAAAAGGAATATATAACATTAAAAAAGAAACAAGCCCAAAATAAAGTCACTTGTGCTAAGCCTCACATCAGCAAACCAACACTTAACACCTTACCTAATGGCAGTATGGCATCTCCCAAGAGTGGCATTTTAAGCCAATCAGCTGGAAGTTCCTCATCAGCACTAGAGAGGTAATCAGCCTGATAGGCTCCCACCCTTCCCCAGAAGATGACCTTGCCCAAAATAACTTTCTTCTGTTTATGATTTCCTTGTCCCTGCCCCCTTCCGCCAAAAACAGTACTCTATTTTGTATAGCTTCTCAGAATTCCTTTCCACTTCCTATATGGGATGCTGCCTGATTCATGAATTGCTGAATAAAGCCACTTAGAGCCTCAAATTTACTCAGCTGAATTTTGGTTTTTACAAGAACATGCTCAATAAATACCTAATGAACTGGATACCAAAAAGACATATGTTCCCCAGTTCTTCGTATAGGTATATACTCACCTTTGGGGTTTTAATTTTCTTAGGGGGCAGTAAGTTTTCAGGACAAGGACCAGCATTGGCTGCATAGGTCAGAGAAAGAAGAACTTCCTCTGGGATGAACTCATTCTGAAGGGATGTAGGAAGGGGTTTTGAACGATCCACCATGGTTTTTTTCTCCTTTAGTTCAGGAAGTACTAAGAAAGTAACAGGAAAGAAAAACTTGCTGCAGTTTTTTGTAGTTAGTTGGAAATCCCCAGGCTGCTTCATCAATACCACCTGTATGTTTCTAACAGAGCAAACACTGTTTCTGGTTGCAAAGAATAGTTAATAGTACTGAACATCATCTAGTCAAGAAAAAAAAAACTCATATTGCTTGCCCTCCTCACACTTATAACACACAGTTTCAAAAACTGAGGCACAAAGATGAACTTCCATTATTCCAAATTCAAAGTTGAAAATTAAACTCACATCACCTGCTCAATTAAGTGGAACAGCCTTAAAATGACTATTTTCCCTTTGATGTGAAAAGGACAAAAGAAAGTTCCCCTCACAACTGTCAAATTGTTTAGTAATTATTTCTATGTAAATCCAAAGGTGAGGATAACTGCATTAATTGGGGCATTTTTAGAGTGGAAGGGATCTGAGTTGGGTTTAAGAGGAAAAGCAGAATTCGGATTGTTGGAAATGAAGAGAGTGGAATAATCTGAGTAAACTGGCAGTCAGAGCTGTACTATTCAGCCTGAGTAGGGCAGAGTTGTGAAGATACGGAATAGGAACAAATAGGTAAAGGCCTCCTGTGCAGTCAGTCAAGGAGAGTGGGGTTGTTGCTCTTACAGAACTCTCCACTAATCTACGCCCCTCACAAAGTATGGCTTATGTTAATGATGTATTTTTGGAATGTTGGTGAGGGGCGTAGATTAGTGGATTAACAAACTCAACTTTGTTTACATTTCCTTATGCCTCTGTTTCCCACATCACTCATGGAAGAGAGGGTGATGTTAGGGCTCCAGAAAATTGAATTATGGGTCTCTGAAAGTTAGGCTATTGATAAGAATGCTTTTTCCTTGTAAATCACTAAGACATTGGAAAACTGATGGAGACTCAGGTCTCACGGGACTGTGATCTCTATTAGTTAACTGTTTGTTTTTCCCTTCCCTTGGCTTCAGGGCAGCCAGCAGTACCTGAGGAATGTCACACACATCCCACCCAGGAGGGGTGTTGGGAGGATTGTGAGGTGTCAGCTTGTGCTTTGCCCTCAGCTTGCCTTCTGCTCCCTCATCATTAATTTCTATAAGGAGGTATCATGCCTTCCTTGTTCACCAGCAAAACTTCTTAAAGTTCACATTACCAAATCTCTTTCTCTCTTGAATGTTTGAAATGGAGTTAGAATATCACAAGAAATAGGAAGAAAAAAGAAAAGCTGGGTGGGGCTTTAGCAAAATCTCCCCCCCAAAAAAAAAACAAAAAAAAACAAGATGAAGGTGTTGGAGGGAGTTTTGACGTAATGGGAGTAGCGATGAGTCTAGCTGATTCTATTCCAGTGCAGATCTGCAGTTATCTCTAGATGAATGAAAATCTTAAGGGAATTCTAGTCATTTAGATATATTGTTAAAACCTGATACAAACTGGTTCCTTAAAGTCAGAGCCCAGGTACCAAAAAAAGTAGTTTCATGCAACTATTGGAACTTAAAATAGGGTGAATTTAAAACAATATAAAACTCGGGGCGCCTGGGTGCTTCAGTCTGCTGAGCATGACTCCTGATTTTGGCTCAGGTCATGATATCAGGGTGGCGAGATCCAGCCATCCCTTGCACTCTGCCCTTAGCAGGGGGATAATGCTTGGGTATTCTCCCTCTCCTTCTGCCGCTCCCCCCACTTTTTCTCTCTCTCTAAAATAAATATAAATCTCTAAAAAGAAGTTTTAAAACAATATAAAACTCATCATCTTTTGAAAAAAATTAGTCTTTAGGTGGAGTAGTGAGACAAGACTCTGACTCAAAAGTACCCGAAAAGGAAAGGCTTTTGATTTTATTGAAACAAGTGTATTAGAAAAACGAAACGAATTAAGGTACCCTGAAGTCTCAGATTCAGGGGAACGGGGGAAGGGGCTGTGAGTTCCGTCCACGGCCATGATTACTTGTATCTGAGGGATCCTTGAAGAACTTTACCTGTCTCCTCCTTGGATGCAGAGACTTTTAACTTCTTGCCCTCAGGTGTTGACAAGGAAGTTAGCAATGTGGAGGACGTTTTCGGAAGAGACATAACAGTCAAGGCCTCCTACCACTCGCTTTAGTAATTTGAAATATCGCTCCAGAAAGCTAACTTAGAAACAAATCAGCGGCGTACTGGGATCTGGCAGTGCCGCCACACTGTCCTGCAGGCAAAAAAAAAAAAAAAAAAAAGAGAGAGATCCACTTAGTGCTTATGTTAAGATCAGAGTTTATAATTCATCTAGCTTGGGTTTTCCTTCTTTGGGGAGCCTTCTGTGTTCTCTCAGGTCACCTGACGCGACTGAGAAGCCTGCTCGGGCCCCCCACCGACCGCCGGCCCCACCCGGAGGACGCCCCTGGCTCCAGGCGGGGAGCTCGGGTCCGAGGCCTCGCCCACACGCAGCGCCCTGGGGCACAGCACCTCCGCGGACTCGGGGTAGGGCAGTGTCGTCGCGGGTCCGCCTCGGAAGTTATGGGAAACAGACACAACCGCTACCGGTAAATTATGTTTCCCGCCAGACAGCTGGTCGCCTCGCCCTTTTCCGGAGCGCCTGCGTGTCGTCATAGAAACCCAGGACCCCGAGCTTTGGCAACCCTCACTGGGGGCTGTCTTCGGCGGTGCCGGCGCAGGAGGGGGACTGCTAAAGAATCCCAACACCCAGGGATGCGGTGGTTTTCACCACAGCATAGGTTCAGCAGCAATAGAGAACAAACATACTTAATCGAGCCGTTCTCACGGAGTGCGCAAGTGACTCGATCCCGGCGCTTCCGCCCGCAGGTCGTCGCCAGTGCGCAGGCGCCAGCGGTGGCCGGGGTTGCTCTCGCGTCACCGGGGACGACCTTCGCGGCACCCGGCGCCAGATTGGAGCCAGCATCCCGGAAGAGATTTGTTTTTCCATCACTCGCTCCCACTTTTTTGTTGTTTTTCCTGTTTTTCTAAAAGCCAAATCCAAGGCGAAATTAGGGAACCAAAAGCTCTGGGTTCCCATCTGTTGAGGCTTCCTTGCGGATGCTGCCCCTGCCCTTGACCTCTTGGTTGTCTTCCTTGGGCACTTACGCACAACCCCCACCCCACCCAGCACGTTCAAGGCGTTCTTAGGTCGAGGATTTTTTTTGGCGGGAGGCAGGGAAGGAGACTGCGCTTTAGGCGGAGCCAACCCAAGTAAAATTGTTGGGGCTTCCCAAAAACCTGTTCTCAGGGAAGAATGGGATAGACGCATTGGCAAGGAAGAGTTGAAATCCCGCCCCTTACCGCCACCAGGGATCATTTTCTGTTAATATGGAGGCTTGGGGCGCCTGGGTAGTTCAGTCGACTAAGTGTCTGCCTTGGGCTCAGGTCATGATCTCAGGGTCCTGGGATCCAGCCCCACATCGGGATCCCTGCTCAGGGAGAGACTGCTTCTCCCTCCACCCCCTGCTCGTGCTCACTCACTCTCAAATAAATAAAATACACTTCTTACAGCTCTAGCACTATTATGAACAAATTCCCTAATACCGCTCACTACCTTTAAAAAAAAAAAAAGGTGGAGCCTTAATGCCAAATAGTACGAGTGGAATCCCAGTGTCTAGATGACTCTAGTCTGGCAAATAAATTTTAGAAGGGAAGATAACTTGTTCAACCGTCCTATTCCTTAGGACCAAGCACAGTGCCTGGCCCAAACTACCTGGTGTTTGAAAATCAACTGGACAGTTCTCCTGTGCTGATGGATTTGGTCTCTGGTTTCTGGTTTTCAGGATAATAGCAATGGTAATAGCAATGAAAAAATATGAGCAAAGTGTTAAAAATAAAAACAACACACAATCTTGTGTGCCTGGGTGGCTCATTCGGTTAAGCATCTGGCTCTTGGTTTCGGCTCAGGCCGCGATCTCATGGGTGGTGGGAGCTCTGCAATGTGGGGGAGGAAGGTCGGCTTGAAGGTTGGCTCCCTGTCCCTCCCCTTCCCCCTCACGCTCTCTGTAAACACACACACACAGTCTCTATGGCCCATTCTAATTTTCCCAAACACCCTGGCTAGCTGAGCATTTTAGCCTTTAGCCATATCCCATCACTCTAATTTTTTTCTAGATTTTCCAAGAATCTAGAGAGACAACACTCACATAGCACACATGTAGTTCCCTCTAAGAACTGGCAATGATCAAACAGGTGAAGGGCAAAAGCAATGCACAAGTAGGTGGAAGGTAACTTTCCTCCAGTTTATGTGCCTTCTGCTTTCCTCACTGGTGGTGTGACTCTACATTCTAGTTTGGAACCATAACCAGAAGACTGAACTTCGGAGATAATAAAATTCCAGCGTTCAGCTTACAGTTTATCAAGACTTTGGGTACTGGAAGAACAAGATAACTGATCTTTCATATTCTTAACTTAGTTTAAAAAAAATCTATAAGGGACTGATAGAAGAGATGAAGACAAGTGAATAGATTCAAGAGACACATACAAAGTAAAATCTATAGAATTTGGTAAGTGATTGGATCTGTGGTATGAAGAAAAAGACATCAAAGGTTACTTCTCATTATATCCTGTGCAATGGTGTGATTATACACACTGTTTCCTGAGTAAAGGTCTGCATTAAAGTTGTAGAAGTATATGAAGTAAATGCCCAAAGACAGATGAACACTTAAGAATATTACACTAAGACCATAGCTATTGAAGAACACAGTTGCTACTCTTGGGAAACTCGTAATTTTGTTTTGTTTTTAAAAGATTTTATTTGACACAGAGAGAGCAAGAGAGACAGAGAGCAAGCACAAGCAGGGGGAACAGCAGGCAGGGGAGAAGCGGGACTCGATCCCAGGACCCCGGTATCGTGACCTGAGCTGAAGGCAGCCACTTAACTGAGCCACCCAGGCACCCCTCTCATAATTTTGACTGATAGCAAGGGAACCCTAAAGTGAAGAGAGGTAAATTATTATTGAGGTCTTTGATGGAAAATATCACAGCAAAATCCAAGATGAGCAGGTAATAATTTTCCTAAATGTAAAACATGATGATAGTAAAAATGTCAGCCGTAGTTGTAATAAACAGGGTGAACTGCGCTTGTTGACATTGACTAAATTCTGTGGCAGCTTAACAAACACCCAACTCAGCAGTAGGGTCCTCTGGCTTCAAGTGGAATCTCAGAAGAGATTGTTCTTGGGATCACCAAACATGCCCTGAGCTGGGGAAAGAAACAAAACAGTAGGAGCGTGTTTGCACCAACCTTTTAACAATTCAGTTTCGGGTTTTTTTTTTTTTTTTTTTTTTTTTTTGAGAGGGACAAGCGGGGAGAGGGGAAGAGGCAGAGAATCTTTTTTTTTTAATATTTTATTTATTTATTCATGAGAGACAGAGGGAGAGAGAAGCAGAGGGAGAAGCAGGCTCCCAAGGAGCAGGGAGCCCAATGCGGGACTCGATCCCAGGACCCTGGGATCATGACCTGAGCCGAAGGCAGACACTTAACCATCTGAGCCACCCAGGCGCCCAGAGGCAGAGAATCTTAAGCAGGATCCGAGCTCAGCGCAGAGCCCTAGGTGGGGCTCAATCTCATGGCCCTGAGCCAACATCAGGGATGCTTAAGTGAGCGACCCAGGCGCCCCTTACCAATTCAGTTTCTCAGTGTGTGGGCAGGGATTACACACTCATTTGTGGGCACTTACAAATAGTATGCATAGCTTCCTGAAGGAGTCTGACTGGGGAAAAGGCCAGTATTTGTACTTAGTGTAGCTAAAGATTGAAGGTATCAAGTGTTGTGAAGGAGATACTGAGAAAGAAATCTAGGCACTGCCCAGCCAAGCGCCTCTCAGGGGAAGAGTAACTTCTAGTGTTGCTTCCACAGGACATTCCTAAAACTGAAATGATGCCTCAGCTTGTCTCAGTTATGTCATTATTCAGTTAAGTACCTTCCTTCTGATTCCACATGGGTGTGCCTACAGAAGAAACAGGCTTTTGGTTTTTGTTCACAAGCGTATCTTCAGTACACAGCACAGTACCTGGAACGTGGTGTTGATGCAGTCTAGAAGAAATTCATCTTTCTCATCATACCATAAATTGGGCCTCTACGGAGCAAATTCAGTCAGGAACCGTGCCAACCTGATTGATTTCTCATGGTATATTTACCAACCCGTGTGATTTCTCATGGTATAGTTACAAACTGGTATTCCAGTGCCCTCAACTTCAGTAAATTCAAGGAAAACTTCCACACCATGCTTTTGCCCCTGGTGCCAAAGAATACTCACTTGGTCCAAGAAACAGGAAGGGGCCCATCTAATTTCTGAAGGGACTTCCCCCTTCCCACGCCTCTGGCCCTGCAGAGGCAGGTGGCTAGAGCCAGAGCATGGAAGATCAGAGGACTTCTTAGCTATTAGTATGATGATGCTTCTATGGAAAGAACATTGTGATGTCAAATCCTACTCATAATGGGTTCCTATTACGAGGAGATTCTTTGGAGGAAGGAAAGCAATGAATCTTGCTTCAAAATCAGTTTCCCCAAGTCTTGTCCGAAAAAGCACACTTCTCAACCAACAGATTTGCCACCTCTCATTAGAAGACTAAGTCCATATCTACCCATTAGGGGGAGGAGGTGGGTACATTTTTAGAAACAGCCATTCATGTGTTTTAAGAGGCCAACTGCAAAAGGAATAAAGCAACAAATAATGACCACAATAAAGAGAGGAGGCTCAAAGTGTCAGTGTCACAACTGGGCCCTATCATTTATTAATTTGTAATCTTTAACATGGCTCCCCCTCCATCACTCTGGATAAGAAAGTTATTTGCCTTCTCTTTGGCTATACTCAGCACATAAAGCTGCCTGACATTAAGATGATCCTGGGTGGCTCTGTTGGTTAGGCTTTTGCCTTTGGCTCAGGTCATGATCCCAGGGTCCTGGGAATGAGCCCCACATCAGGCTCCCTGCTCGGCGGGGAGTCTGCTTCTCCTTCTGCCCCTCACCCTGCTAGTGCTCTCTCTCTCTCTCTTGCTCTCTTGCTCTCAAATTAAATCTTTTAAAAATTAAAAGTGAAAAACATCTGTAATTATGAAATATGTAGATACTGAATAAATGATTACTTTTAAAAACAGACTACTTTTTTTCCAAATATATTTATTTACCACGTTCTTCACATATGCAATATTTTGCCATTTTGTATGTAGATTTTAAGTTAATGCTAAGACAATGCATACTGAAAGTGATAGTACCAGTGATTAGATAAACAGGGCAGGGCGTGGGGGGGGGGGGGAGTCCTGAATAGAAATTCTGGAAAAGAGCAAATACGACAGAATTAGAAAAGACATCTTTAATTATAGAGAAACTTTTAAAACCTCCTCAGATGTCCATGACCTCTCTGCTGCCTGAAAACACAATGGATTTAAAGCACACGCTGGACAAGTGTAGACACAGGAAGGAAGCAGCTGCACAGGCCCAAATGGCGGAGCCGTGGCTGGAGAGGGAGCGCTCTTCTCACCCAAGAACTGGCACATTGGCACACGGGAATTCAAACTGTATCCCTAAGTGACCAGATGCACAAACTGCCTCACGTCTCAGAGTTAGTTAGAACCATGAGAAAGCACACCTACCACTTCACTAAAACAAACGAACCCACAGCACAGGGGATGACCTGCTAGCTTAAAGGTTAGCACTCCCTTGGGAATGCTAGAAAGAAGGAAGCATTTAGAAAAAAAGGAATACAGAAGAGGCAGCTTTAGTTGTTTGGTTTTTTTTTTTTTTTAAACTATCACTTCTGAGATTAACCCTTTTTCTCAAAACCAAATTAGCTATTAAAAAGTCTTTATGTGGGGAGCCTGGGTGGCTCAGTCATTAAGCGTCTGCCTTTGGCTCAGGTCATGATCCCGGGGTCCTGGGATCGAGCCCCGCATCCGGCTCCCTGCTCGGTGGGAAGCCACCTTCTCCCTCTCCCGCTCCCCCTGCTTGTGTTCCCTCTCTCGCTGTCTCTCTCTGTCAAATAAATAAAATCTTAAAAAAAAAAAAAGTCTTTATGCTTTACAGAAAAAAAGTGGGAACTTTATTAAAAGGACTTCATAGATTATATAGATTGTACAGCTTTCCAGTTTTATCATTACTGATGTTCAAGCAGGACATTAAATTTAGGGTGAGAAAGAGCGTGGGCGGACCAAGCAAAAAGGACTCCATTCTCCCCATTTCAACCAGAGTTGAAGCCATGTTTTACCTCCTTTATAAACAGAGTTCCAAAATTCTACTACCTGATAGAAACTTTAGTGATGTTAGAAACTACTCGAATGCTTATATAAGCTTTACTAGTAATACTCATTTTATTCTTCAGAACCTTTACGTCCCAGTTTCTTCAATTTCTGAGCCATAAACATAAAGCTTAGAGTTTAAGATACGTAAAACGGTGACCAAGACAGATCCTTCTCCAATAGTATATACGCACACATATATAAACTGTATTATAAAAACTATGTAAGTCACATAAAATTTTGCACAGGGTTAGTAAGCAAGTCCATTACACATTATTAACAAAAGTATGAACTACCTTCCATTAAGACTATAAGCATTGTTTATAACTGGCAAAATTAAGGCCTCATTAGTTTCCTTCCTCTTCATAAATTCTAAAATTTAACTATAAAGTATACACACTAGTTCTAACACTTAAATACCTAGGCAAAGGTAGACATGCTTTTCTTTTAGAAGCCTACCCTTATGCTAAACAGATAATTATGAAAGTAATTTTGGAGGTGGAAACAGAAGTGCCTTTGATAATCTTGTTAAATTCTTGTCAGTTCCATTATGGACTGTTCCATCTTGTCACTCCCATTATGGGAGTGCTCATTTTATCAGTCCAGGTACTCACATCATCGCGAGTCTATTTAAATAAAGCACATATTCTCAGGAGTGTGCATTTGAAACATTCACATTTTTAAAAGATTCCAATGAGATAGTAAGGATTCAGGTTTAGAATTTATGGACGGTAAGAAGATAATGAGGCCCTTTTCCTGCCAGGGCCAGTGTTTTGCAACAACCTTTTGAGGTAGTTATTGCCCCCATTTTACAGATGAGTAAAACTGTGGCTCTAATAAACAAAGCAACTGTGCCCATTGTCACACTGCTAGTAAGGATGGGGCCATCTTAAACATCTGTGCATGCCTTTTTGCTGCACCAGTGGTTTTCCCACTGGGTATTTGGGAATAGGAGAAAATGGCTGTCCCAAACAACAGGACTCCAGCCCTGCGTCCCAATCTCAACCAGAAGCAGCTATATTTTACCTGTTTTGCATGCTGGGCTTAAGTGTAACAATCTTTTTTTATGGTTTCATAACTAAAACAATACTCATCAGGCCACCCGGTTACTATAGTTGTGTTAGTTTACCTTATTTTTCCCCATACAAAATAATGAACTTTACTCAAAATTACTCATAACCACACAAAACAAACATCTTTTTGCATAAAAGACCTCAACAATTCATAAATTAGATCTTTTTAGGCTACATAAGCCACATGACCAACCTTTTAAACACATAATGTTCTATTAGGCTTTCTATAAAGAATTCAGGATTCCATTTTTATCCAGGTATAATTTTAAAATTCAATGAAAACTGCCTACACTAAATCAATGACTTGTATAACATGATCTGTGTTTGCAATTATAGAGTATTTACTGTACCTTCTTCATCTGCCAATGTCACCCACTCTTACCCTACAACTAAAAGGAAAAAACATTTCCCCCACTCATGCTTCCAAAAGCAAAATGTAGTTACTGAAAGGTTAAAAGCAACCTGAATTTTCTAATTAAATTCTAACGTAAAGCAAGCCACTTCACTTGGGCAATTTTAGATTAATCCACCAAAAAAAACAAACAGCTCCGTTTTCCTTCACTATCCAAGACTGAGAATGAAACCATCTAACAGATTCAAAACAAAGTTTGAGACACAGCTGTTGTCTTAGAGAAAACACCCACAATAATGGCTATTATCATTAATACTTCTTACAGGAAAGAAGTTTTAAAGTCTTTTCTTTTCAGAAGGAAAAAAAGTATCATCCTGTAACTAATTTTCACTCCTATTAGCAAAAGAGGGGGAAAAAATCAATAAATCTTCCTGAAACACATCAGAAGTTTTAATTTATTTAGGAGTGTAGGTAGTGGTTTAAATAAAACGATTTTTGCTAAGAGCGGCTAGCAGTAAGATCATGGCTATCAAACTAGTTTCTGTCACTGAAAGTAACTATTCCTTTAAGTGTTTGTGAAAACTTCTTAGGGCAGTCTTATTGTTCTAAAGAGTCCTTAGTTTTAAACATTTTTTGTTGTCACCTCAAGGTCTTGGGCAGGGGGAAAAAAAACACTAATAAAGGGAAGATGAGAGCTAAAACAAACAAAAAAACTCACCAGCCTTCATCAGTCCTACAAATACAATATTCAGAATCAATACAGAGCAACAAAATCAATGAGCAATGAAAATGTAACATTTACAGCACTTAACAGAAATACAGATCAAAGAGTTCCATTCTCTCCCTTCAGTCGATGACTTATTCATAAAAGTCTTAGACCAATCTGGTTTTCTTAACTCCCTCATTATATTTAAAATGTAGTCCCATAAATTCAAGTGACTGAGTCATTTTAATTTTTAATAAAAATACCAGAGATTACAAGATGTACTAAAGCAGTCTTGTTTGGAGGTTATGACTCCATCACAATTACAACACCACTGTACAGACAATTACTGCTGAGAACATGTGAACTACTTTTTAAGAAATGACCTCATGTCACATGCACTTTTGTCTGTTAAAGTTGGATTTTATATTTGAAAATTGCCTAAACTCATCTGGATCAAAGGTCCTGATGAAAGAAAATGGGTAATGAAGCCGGGTACTTGTGGTACAAATTAAGTTGTAACTAAGAAACTCGATTCTCCTTCTTTTGACACTCAAACTGACTTCAAAACAATTCTAAAAAGATGTCCCGAAACTTTTTGGATGGAAGTAGGGCTATTAGAATACCAACAAAGCTTCTCAAGTTGGCTACTCCCAATGAAAATCACCTTTTGGGTAATTCTTAAGTCTCACTTCTCTGGGTGGAAAATTCAACTCCATGGTCTCTGATAGGCCATTCAATGGTCCGTCTTTACAAACATAATCACACCTCACACACACAAACAAAATAATTCCTGCACACCATACTGTATTAGCAACGGGCATCTTATAACATGGAAACATCACATATAGAGTACATTTTCTTGAAAATGATCACATATTAATTTGTTTCACCTAACGTATACTACCATTAAAAGTGTAATAATTGAGCAGTGCAGAAGCTAGCTTCTGATCTTTAAAAATCACTTTAATATTAATGGAGGTGATTAATACTTAGATGTTACAGACTTAGTAGCCTGCCAA